GTACGACCGAACGAAAGTTGAAAGAAGAAACGACGGTGAGCGAGATTGAGGAAGGAAGTTTCTTACGGCTGCGTCTGGATCTTCGATTTTGATTTGAAAGGATATGCGAGCGGGAAGTGCTTAATCTGTTAGAAAAGAGACCACGTGATCGTATCCTTAGTGGACCTTCATTTGAACATTTTGAATCTGAATCTCGCGGTCCAGTGGCCCGCGCTAAACAGGCCCATTGGCCAACGTCTTCGCGGTTTCCTATACAAAAATTCAGTTCAATTTATTATTTTTTTCCGAAAAAAATCAATTATCACCATTTTAATTTTCAATTTTAAAAAATTAAAAATAAATTAATTCTGGCTCTACGTATTAGGGGTGTACATTCAACCCGACAACTCGACAACCCGGACCAACCCAACCCGAACTATAAGGGTTGGGTTGGGTTGGATTAGCATTTCGGGTAGGGTTGAGTTCATTTTTCTGAACCTAAATAGAATCGGTTCGGTTGCGAGTTCGTGGGACAAAACCCTCGAGTTGACCCGAGCGACCCGAACCTAAAATTATATAAACTATATTAAGAATCTATCCTTCTATTTAAAAATATCTGTATTTAGTTATCTTTAGTTTTATGACAATATTGAATTATGTTAATATGGTAGAATTTTGTTGTTTTTTATTTTTTATTTTTTATTTTGTGAATAATTATAGATTATTTGTATTTGTTTATGAACTTTTAATATATTTTATCTATATGAATAATTATAAATTTAGGATTAATAAAAGATAACCCAATCCGAATCCAACCAAGGTTGGGATGGGTTGGGTTGTGAAAAGTTTTGAAAAGTTTTGGGTTAGATTACCAATCCAACCCACCCAAATTTTTGTGTTTGGATCAAAAAAATTCCTCAAGCTAAATTAACTATATAAAAGTTTTCTTTCCTACATTAAATTATTATAAATATCGTTAAGGTATATTACTTATATATTATTTTGATGTAAAGGTATATTACTTATATATTATTTTGATGTAACTGATATATGACATCACCCATATATTTTTTATTAAAAGAAATAAAAACTCAATTAATTAAGAATATTTCTTTAAACAAAAAAGAATTAAGAATATTAATTTTATTATTGCTCAAAGTTTGAGCAACCAATTGATGCCAATGCATTAAAGCAAATATAAATATAATAAAGTGATTTTCTTATTAATATTATATTTTTGTTAAATTACAAAACTACCATTATTATAAAATTTAGGAAGATTTAATATATAAAAAATAATTAATTAAATTTAATATATAAAAAATAATTAATTAAATTTAATATATATAAAATAATTAATTAAATTTAATATATATAAAATAATTAATTAAATTTAATATATAAAAATAATTAATTTTATATTTATTAGATAGCGAATATTCAAACATATCTATACTATAAACTTCTAATGTTGTGGTCAATAAATATTTAATATTTCTTAAAATCAATAAATTTGTCTCGGTGTTATACATTTTAAAAAAAAAAAAATTTAAAACAAATAATCAAATAATGTAACTATATATTTTTCGAGCAAATATCAAATTAAACCTTAAAGAAAATTGTTAGCGATTTTTTTTTTACTTTATTTTATTTAAAATAAGCATAAAATTATCTAATTAAAATTATTATTCTAAAGAAAATAGAGATAAATTGATTTACCAAACCAATGGCTATGAAAATCTCCATGGTCTCGAATTTGTCTTTTTCTGTCCAACTGTTTCCATGGGTTTAGTGATCCGCAAGCGTTTGAGATACACGCGCTAAAGTCCGCGTGTTCGGCGTCAAACGCGTCGTAACCAGAAGCGTTTCCCAACAGAAAAGGACAAGGATCTGTCGCATCGCAAACCAGCGCAGCCAGCCACAAAATAGTTGGGCTATACAACCCACGCCACGTAAGCCCATAGAAATTCTTTTTCATATTACAAACAAATCCTGACGTGTACTTCCATCACATTTGGAAACCAAAATTTAAAAAATTTAATGCTGACGTGGCAGACAAACAAACATCCACGTACGCTGCCATACAATATTATCGTTTTCACGCGTCACGGAAGCATTGGGTTAACCGTACCGAGAAAGTTTCTGCACTAAAAAAAAATCAAAATTATATAAATTCCACAATAATTATTTATTCTCTTTAGAAAAAAAAAAAAAAAAAATTAATTATAATAAACTTCTCAGATTTGACGCCCAGGTCGACAGCTATTCTCTCTCTCTCTGTTCCCTTGGCTTCATTTTTGGCTGGAAAATGGGATGCTTTCGCCACAGCAAAAAACAGAGGAAAAAATTCGACAGCAATTCACCCATTTCTTCAGGTAATTTTCAATCCATTTTTTAAATTATTTAATGTATTTCGATTTCAAAATCTCTTTCGTTATGATCGATACGCTGTCGTTTTGATATTCTTCCCCCCACATGGACCCAGAAAATCACTCAATGGGACAAATTTATGATTGATTTAGTTTTCGAAATATATATATATATATATTTTTTAATCCTTGCATGCTTTATCAAGAAGAACACATGATTTTTACCGTTTTTATTTGATTATTCGTTCAATTTTTACAAATTCTTGGCTTTTCTTGTGAACCAATCAAGGTTTTAATCTTTAATGTAAAGATTTGAGCATAATTCCTTAAACGACAGAGAATTTAACCGTGTTTTTTTTTATTTTTTTTACCGCGGTAATAGTTAAAGTAGAAGCGGATTTGAAGGTAGAAACACGGGAAGAAGTAAAAGAGCAGACTCCTGAAAATGACCAGCTGGCGTCAAATATAACCAGAGAGGTTTCCAGTAAAGCAAAAAGGAACGAAGAGATAGAAAAATTTACCTACCATGAACTTGTAGAAGCAACGAGAAATTTCAAGTCTGATTGCTTTCTGGGTGAAGGAGGCTTCGGTAAAGTTTACAAGGGCCATTTGATAAGAATCGACCAGGTAAAATTTTATAATCATATTTAAATTATAAAATTTTAATTACGTAGATAATAAATATAATTGATTATAATATATAAAATTAAATAATTATCGAACTAGTTGATTGTAAATACAGTTTTGAACTCAAATTTTGATACAGGTTGTAGCTATAAAACAACTCGACCGGAATGGGCTTCAAGGGGTAAGAGAATTCGTGGTGGAAGTATTGACGTTAAGTTTGGCCGATCACCCAAATCTTGTAAAATTGTTAGGATATTGCGCAGAACGAGATGAACGACTGTTGGTTTACGAGTTCATGCCATTAGGCTCATTGGACAAACATTTACACGGTACGTTATATATTTACTTTAAAAGGTGTTTTATTTACTCGTCTATTAACTGATTTGTTATATGTAATATTAATTTTGATGTCTAATGAACTGCTAAATTTTGGTGACAGATCTTCCACCGGACAAAAACGTGCTTGATTGGAATACGAGAATGAAGATAGCGGTGGGCGCAGCGAGAGGATTGGAGTATTTGCACAACAAAATGAGGCCAGCAGTTATATATAGGGATCTAAAATGCTCGAACATTTTGCTGGGTGAAGGGTATTGGCCAAAGCTCTCGGATTTCGGGTTAGCCAAAGTGGGTCCAAGTGGAGATAACACTCACGTTTCTACTAGAGTCATGGGAACCTATGGATATTGTGCGCCCGATTACGCAATGACAGGCCAATTGACATTCAAATGCGATATCTATAGCTTTGGAGTTGTTCTCTTGGAGCTCATCACGGGAAGGAAAGTCATCGACTATACAAGACCTCCGAAGGAGCTGAGTTTGGTGACATGGGTAAGATACTTAACCAAAATAAGAGTTCATCGTATTCAAAATAGCCTAAATTATAAAACAAAAATCGTTCAAAACGTATTTTTTTTTTTTAAATGACGATATTACCCTCTGACCTTTTATCAACATTTCGGAACTACTCAAGTAAAAACTCGATGAAAATTGAGACAATGAACAGCTACATTAAATTGAAATAGTTTGACAGTGACTTCGAACAATGTGAATTTCCATTATGGGTCATTGTCGGACCGTTCGAATCACGTTTTCTTATAACTAGTGGCTTCAATTTCAGACATTGTATTAACACGGTAGTTTGAAATTTGAGCTAAATTGGGTCGGGTTGATTGTTTTTGTGTTGTAGGCAAGACCATTGTTCCGAGATCGAAAGAGGTTCTTGATAATGGCGGACCCGAGGCTCGATGGTCAATTTCCTGTAAGAGGATTGTATCAAGCTCTTGCCATTGCAGCCATGTGTGTGCAGGAGCAACCAACTCAAAGGCCAGTGATTTCAGAAGTGGTCTCGGCTTTAGATTTTCTTGCTTCTCAAAAATTTACTCAAAAGAGGGGTTAGTTTGGGATCAAATACACAATTTTAATATATTTTAATTATGTAACTCAAGGATTGATTTTGGGGTAGGATAGGGTTTGAGAGATGCAACGATATTAAATACTGTTTGATAATGATTTTCTTTTTAATTTTATATTTTTTTAAATTATATTTTTTTTCTGTCCATTTTTATTTTTTTAATTTTTACCATGAACATAAATTTAGAAATATCCATATATTCATTTTAAATAATAAAAAAGTTAGGAATCGTAATGATATTATTCATAAGTTTTCATGAGTTTGCTTTAGGTTTTTCTAAAAGGTTTCATATCAATGGAGATAGTATTCCTCACTTAAAAATTCATGATCTTCCACTAAATTAACCAATGTGGGACTCACTTCCAATAATTCTCAACAAATACAAATTTAAATTAATATTACACTTTTGTTTATAAAAAAATTGAATTATAGGTAAGAAATTAAAAAAAAAAGACTATATAATGGAACAACAAATGGAGTAATAATTAAATCTTATCACGTGCACGGCACGAGTAGTGAAATTTCCCGCCGAAAATCGGCGCGATGCCTAACGCTAACAGAATATAAATAGAAGAAGCACAGCCCGAATTCCTTCCTTTTCGAACCCCAAACCCTATCTCCGTCGTTGATAAATGCAGCAGAGATCTTCGACTTCGAGTTCGTTTCGAGCAACAACTGACGATCATTGTAGCATAATCTTCAGCCCGGCACAAGAGCCACAAGGAAGATGCTCTCCAGAAATAAGATCAATGGACGATTCCAGCGGCAGCATTCTTCCAGTTTCCGATCCTTCGTGTCGGAAGCGAGATCACAATTCGCGATACAAATTCTCGGAGAGGTGGATTCATTTGATTCCTTTGATTCTGCTCCTCGTCCTCTTCATTCTCTGGTGGTCATCTTATCCAGGTAAATTTCTTCAAGAGTTTCAAGAATCGGTTTCTGACGGTAATTTTTTCAATCGAATATTCTCATTCTCTTCGCAATTTGTTTCTGTTTCTTGCATATGTGATTTGGTACATCTCTCGGAACGAATGATCTAGCCTAGGTAGTTTCTTTTACTTTCCAATCCTATTTTCATCAAGATTTTGTTGAACTTTACATTTAATTCTAGTTCTACTCTTCTCTTCCATTCTCTTTTCTTTATTTCATCTTGCAGTTTCTTGCCTCCTCTGTCCAGTAATTTGTAAATCGTTTTTTTCCCCTGCGAATGCAGTGAATTTGGTGATCAAGGATGGAGGAATTAAAGCAGTTTATGCAAGTGAGTTTCCGGAGGCGCCGAAGTACATTGATCATGTCGAACTTGCCATTTTAAGAGGTGCCGGAATGCAGATTGCTTCGAGTCCTCTGAATCTAACCAGCGTTGGCACTCGAGATCTATGGACACCGGGTAAGATCAAATGAGAAATGAATTTTATCATTTAGAAATCCAATAATAATTTCACTGAAAATCGAGTAGCTAGGAACTTTGTTGATAGAGATGAGGGGGTGACAACTGACGAAGCTATCCTCATATGATGCATTGGCGTCAGGTTTACTCATACAATATATACTTAGAAGAAAAGAGAATATAATAGCAATTCAAAGAAAATATTGTTGGATCATGAAAGTCCATCTCCGTTAATTTAGGAAATAATCATAGATTTATAATAAAAAAATATTATCTACATTTGTGTAAGGTCTTCTAGGAAGACCAAATCAAAGTCAAGAAATCCTTGTGTGAGGTCTTCTAAAAAGACCAAATCAAAATCATAAAAGTTTAGGAGAAAATGGATAATCTCATATTTTGGAGAGTCATACTCATCCAACAGATATTTTTGGAAACTAATGGTTTAATTTTATGCTCATCCCATTCCTAAATACATCAATATTTTCAAGCTATAAGACCTTTTATAACCTATGGGCCGGTCCAGCCCAAACCAAATATGATTGGACAGATGATCATGACCTTGATGCCTATGATCCGTAGGGGAGGGTAGAGTCTAGTCTATTTTGCGATTGCACATGAGGCACGTGATTCCATCTGCCTTCCTTTTCACTGTTTCTGCCTTGCTGGAGAACTTTACATAAAACAACTGCCAGTTGAATGGGGACCATATTGCCCAAAATTGAATAAAAAAGAAGAAGAAATATATATATATATATATATATATATATGTAGGACTGATTAATATTAGGAAAGGGACAATACTTTAGGCAGTAGGTCGTTTGATGTGGAGATGTGAGTTCCCATTTCGGCCATCCCGTCCTCACACTCAGAGCCGTGACCCAGATATTAAGCTTAAATGAAATAACAAACAAGAACTAAAAAGGTAATTTCACGTGTCTGTGGGCCCCACCAGCCTCCTTCCTTCCCTCATTCGTCTCTGTCACACCTCACACTCATGATTAGCGACCACTAGGATTTTAGGTAATTTCTGCTGCCCAATTTAAAGACCCGGAAATTGGATTTCTTGTAGAAAGTGAGAGAAGAGGTTTTAGACTATTAATAATGGTTTAAAATAGTTTATACGGTTAGTTTTTTTTAATAAATTTTTATTGTATGAGAATTATTGTTATTATTCGACAATTTTGGATAAAAATTCATTTCAAAGAATTGAACTAAAAACTTATTTAAAATATGATAACTAAATTTGTACATGTTTTTTTTTTTTAAATAAACTAATTCTAATAACTAAAATAAAATAAAATATAATTTAAAATATAAGATCAAATTTGATATTCTATTTTCATAAAAAATTCTTGAAGTCTAATTACCTTCCAATTTATATAATTTCTGAATTCATTGTGTCACGATACTGCTCTATTTAATTTCTAAATTTAGACAAAATTTTTTTTTATAGATTTTTCCTTATCCGTAGACGTTGTAATATGTATTAATTTTTACATTAAATTCTTAACTTCACCAAGTTAAATTTGAACTTACTTTTCAGATAATGGTGCTTGTGTGTGTTTTTTTACGGTCTCCTCAAATATATATATATATATTTTGGGCTAAATTCACCATTTCCTTTTAATAAAATTGAATAGTGATATCAATATACAAGGTTAACTTTTAAAAAACAGGATAATTCTGGCCAAGGTTGGTATAGGGTTAATACTTGATTTCCTCCATATTTTTTATGAAAGACAATATTACTTCACGGTAATTCGATTTAAAATGTCGTAAAATGAATAATTGAATAATTGAGCCAAATTTTTATAATATAGTTCTCTGCATTCATTATTGCGACAACGAATTTTGAATTATGAAGGAATTTTCTTTTCTTTTCTCCAACATGGATTGTGCATTCTACGTGTTTGTTCAACTTTTTTGTTATTTTTTATGGATGTTCTTCTCTCTCTCTAACCTTTTGAGATAAGAGATTCTGATTTTCATTTGATTCTTTAGACAGTTGTTTCTAAAAGACGAGATGGGAATGAAGACAATGATAATTAAATTGTACCTTGCAATATTTTTTTATTTGAAAATTCTTCACTGAAAATATTAGGGTTTAAAACATTAATTCAATCATCAATTTTGTACATTAATGATGCTTAATTTTTTGTAAATTTTAATATTTACTGAAGCTAAAGAGTCTCTATAGATTTTTACTTCATTTTTCTTCTTTAATATTTTTAGGAAATTTAGCAAAATTTAACACAAATAACTATCACCTCCAGCTAAATGAAAAGAATATCAGAAAAATATCCACTCATTACAAGGTTATAAAGGAATGTCAATGGAGACCGTTGGATTAAACTAACTACTTTTAATTCGTCGGATTGTCCCGTGTCCTTCCAATGGAAGGAGTCGTGAAAAAAAAAAGAATCCGAGACGGCCGGCAGCGAGACATGGTGATACGAAGCGCCAATGGTGCCGAGATGAAGCGGTCGGCTGAGCCACCCATCTGTCTTTTCGTCTTCTTTTGGCAAATCCATTTCCCTCCCATCTTTTCCTTAAATAATATCTCACCAAATAAATTTATATAAAAACAAATCCAACACCCACAAAAAAAAAAAAAAAAAAA